AGGGAGACTGGGGGAAGGAGGATGAACGTACGGAAGTGGGAGATTGTCTCAAAGCACGACGCAACAAGGGCAGAGAGACTATTTAGGACCGTACAGCACTTAGTTCGTCGCTTGAGTGGACTTGGCAGAAGGGCGATGCTGGGATGGTCGATGATCATCCTAGTATGTTTCCTGTATTACACAATGTGTCCTCCACGTCGAGAGTAAAGCCTTGTGCATTGTGTTTATCTTCATGAGTATTGACTTTATGTTTTCTGCAATTTCTCAGTACCAGCTCCGGGTTTCAGATCTACAGATCGTCACCCTAGTTCCTAATCAAACAGACACAACTGCCATTTCCCGGAACATATATATGTTTGCAGACACCTCAACGGCACGCAATCTCAGCAACGGATTTAACTACGGAATGCAGTTTCAAGGTAGGAACAGGACAGACAATCCTATTAGTACACAGGGATATCCACAAAACAGGCTCAAGGGACTCGACGGACGGACTCAACACCTCAACAGACTCAACAGTCTCAACAACGAAGACTCAAAGATGCAGACTCAACACACGCATCCAGCAAGTATCATGGGCTAGGGTAGAAGCACTCCCTTGGGGTTCTTCAGCCTCGCGTTCGCTGCTACTACGGAGGCCACAAACGACCAATACTCCATGCCTAACGCCCCGGTTTCCAAATACTGCCGGCCTTCAAATGCTCGCCATGTGTAACACATTAACAGTCCACTTCAGCTGCCCACGTCAGCAATCCATGTCAGCCATCCACATCAGCACCAACACGACAGCACCACATCAGCATCCACTGCCAGATGTACCCCCACATCTCCATGCTGCTCTGCCACGTCAGCATCCGCCAGTAATCTTAACTGCCACATCGGCAGTCCACGTCAGCATCCTCCTCCACGGGGTCGGCTCTTCTTGCCACCAAACCCCGTTTCCACTGCTGATTGACTCTCTTTTCTGATTGACTCTGTTTTTTTTTTGTTTTTTTTTTTCCCTCCCATCTGATTACAATGCACTTCGATTTTTTGTTGATGTCAACTACCTCCTCAAGTTGTTGCCGAGATCAACCCTCACTCCGAATCTCCATTGATGTCAACACTCCCCTCCCACTTTGAAATTTCGTTGATGTCAACCCTCACTTCGAAATTTTGTTGACACCAACACTCCCTTCGAATTTTTGATGACATCAACCGCAACTCAACTTTTTCTTTTCTTTGTTTCGCAGCTAAACTTCAACGATGGGATGACCACTCTGATATCATTTTTTTCTGAAAGGAAACCCTCAGTCATGCATCATCCATTCCATGTGAGTGTGCAGATCTGGTGGTCAAACCAAACACATGAAAATCAAGTTGTTCTCCCTCTTCTACAATCGCCACACAGTTCAACGAAATTTCAGAGTCAACATTCATCAAACACCGCATGCATGCAGCACGAAGTTGCGGATGGTGCAGCTATGGTGGGTCAACCCCACAAATATGCTCGCAGACCTGCAAATTCGAGATCACAGGCCTGGCTCAGTGACATCATTGAGTTCAACTTGAAACCTCATTGACACTTCATGGAAACTTCCCACAAACCCTGTCACTCGCTGCTACAGAGATGTAGGTCAGATCCCAATGCAGTCTGCATGTGCTACAATCTCTACAACCACCAGCATGTCTCCTTCTCTGTTCTACATGGTTTCTCTCCCTGAACATCGAAGTGATGCTTCCACTCGATGGCTCACGCACTACCAAGCAAAAGCTCTATCCCACAACGCCCGACACAACAATGCAATCCCACTCCAGAATGGACTGAAAACAACAGCTACCAGATGGCAACTCGATTGCCCTACTACTCCAGCTATGGCTGTCTTCTTCACCACAAAGCACTGCTGGTTTCACGACAGCACCACGCAGAATAAACCCCCTCCAAAAACGAATTCTGCAGTTTTTTTTTTCAGCCGCACTTCCCCTGTTGCCCCTTGGAAGCCTCTGGATACTTGCTGCAGGCACCCTTACTGCACCAATGGTACTAACCATTGACTTCACGTACGTACACATATTAAGAGCAGGCCTCAGGTTCAAGGGTCCACAAGCACAGCCAACGCTTAGTACAACTAGGTAGAGCAACAGGTAAGGGCACAGGTCAAAGTCCACATCAGGTCCCGGGTTCAAACTCCAACAGCATCACACAAGCATATAAGATAGCGGAAAGCCAACAACAACAGCAACAGGACATGGGATCGAATCACGGCTGGATTAGGAAGGCGAAATCCTTTCAATAGACTATTAATAGCCTCTCAGGGCTCTTAACACCTTGCCAACTACCGGCTGCATAATATGCATCTCCTCCACCTCAGTATTTTGTTCTCGGAAATGCCCCTCGGAAATGTTAATACCCTGGAAATGTCCTTCACAATGACACTCAATAAGAGTTAGTTTGCTGAGGTAGTGTTGGCAGAGCGCTGACGGTTGCTGACCTTACACGCTGCAGGGACGCTGATATTGCCATACCACAGGCCTGATGATGTGGCAATTCCACATGGTAGCAACCAGCGCTGATACCAGTGTTAAAATCTCACCGGATTAAGTTGGATTCACACCCCCACACTCTCGATAGCATCGAATCATGCAGTCACACCAAACTTAACAGGAATTCGGAACTCTCAAAATTCATTTGGAAATCTGAACTGTCAAAATTCATCTTTCACTTTCCACAAATTTCCAGCATCAGCCGAAGCTGGGTAATGGCGCTAGTGCGGGCAAAAATTGTGAGGTCCCTGGCCTCTGTTCCAATTCTGTTAAAAAACAAAGAGAAGAAAACGTTTTTCAGCACAGGCCGCCAGCATAGTGGATATCGGTAGAGCACGAAAGTGGCATTCAGGCGGTTGTGGGTTCAATTCCCCACAACCTCCTGCGGCTCGCTACAGGTTCACCAGCCCTGGTAGGGCTGGGTGAGGTCTGTATTCCATTGCCCGGGGCTAGGAGGAAGCTGCAGTGCTTAGCTACAGGAGGAGGTAGGTGCCAACCCATAACCCTTACGCATACTGGAAGCTGGAGTTCCAAGAGCTTCGGTAGAGTGAGGCATAGAAATTAGTTTTTCCCAAAACAAAAAAAACGTTTTCAACATACACCTTTGAAACATAGTTGCGGCGCACTGCTACGGTGTGCAGTGCAGCGCGGGGCGCTGTGCGCCATGCGCGAGAGGGGAAAAAAAAAAAAGAATCCATGTGTGTGCGTGTGTGTGTGTGTGTGTGTGTGTGTGTGTGTGAGAGAGAGAGAAAGAGACAGACAGACAGACAGAGGGAGAACTCATGATCTGTTCAATTGTGTCAACTGTTTCAACAAGAGTTACATGTGCATATCGTTAGGCCAACTGCCAAGCACAGTATGTCTTGGAGTCTCCTACTACTACATGCCTTTGACAGCAAGGAAAAGCAGATTAGAGGAAGTAGACATATAAGGCTCATGGGTGACTGCATACTACAGTGCATAGTATCATCAGTGTTCCACGTTCCGAAGTCTGAATTATACACAAGTGTGGACGGGTGTGTCTCTGAAGGTGTGTGTGTGTGTGTGTGTGTGTGTGTGTGTGTGTGTGTGTGTGTGTGTGTGTGTGTGTGTGTGTGTGTGTGTGTGTGTG